GATTTATAAAACTGGCAATTTCGTATACAGTGAACGTTCCTATGCAATATTTTACAGAATTACATACTATGAAAATACTTCAGCTTAGCAAGCTAACTAGTACCAATTATATATCTTTCATAATCACAAATAAGTTACTTATACTCGTTAGGAAGGCAGAAATTTAGTACAGTTGCCGAGAAGTTGTTAGTTAGTACGTTAAAAATCAGATAATGTTATCACACAAGTGAGACTTTGTACAAACCAGAGAAGTAAGGCCTGTCGTGGTGACGGGAAAAAAACACCCAACCTTGAACTAGCATTTACATTCCCGAGTACTTCGGTCCTTCTCCACCCTCAGGTGTGACCCAATTGATATTCTGTGTTGGATCCTTTATATCACACGTTTTGCAATGAATACAATTTTGTGCGTTGATTTGTAGTCGCATCTCTGAGGAGTTCTCGTCTCGAGGTACATATTCGTAAACACCTAAATTATAGAAATAGAAACGTAAAAAGCTTAGAAAATTAAGGAGAAATTCTTCAACGCTCTTTACAGTCTTAGAACTTTTCTGATATACATTTCTTTAATGAAAGCTCATTTAAGTTTGTAGAAAACAAACTAACCTGCGGGACAGTATCGTTGTTCTGGTCCATCGTACAAAGGTAGGTTGATTTTCTCTGGTACGTCATCATCTTTCAGAGTTAGATGAGAGGGTTGGTTTTCTTCGTGATTAGTACCAGTAAGAGCTACGGAGGTAAGTATATCGAAGGTTAATTTACCATCTGGTTTAGGATAGTCTATTTCCTAAAAGGAAGATCCTACATTCTTCGATGATAGAAACACAAAAAAAAACCAAATGATTTACCTTGCATTGTTCTTTCTCCACTATTTTCTCATTATCAGGTTTCCCATGTGAAAGGGTCCACGGTTCCTTTCCTCTGCCAAGCACGTAAAACAGTCCCGAATACGCCATACCACCCAACCATCCTAAGAAAAGTAAGCATTAACAAGATCGAATTACTAGTAAGTGGTGGAATTCTTCTAATACAACCTTCACCAAGTGGATTTTGTCGTAGATCAGCTTACCGAGAGAAGTATTGAAAGATGGACGAATATTCCTTGTTGCCTTCATCTCCTTGAAAATAGAGCTATTATCCATAGCTTCCTGATAGGATGTGGGTGTAACGGCTGTAAGAACACTCTGATTAAGCAGAAATTCTACAAAATATGCTACAGACTTAAAAGTTTTCCAGGGAAAACCTTATCGTTGCAAGAGCCTTCGAATCTTTTTTTCGAAATGATGTAAATCTAGCATTCTAATTCCTCAAATTTAAGAAAAATGCTAGAGACTGACTTGTAGTATCTTCTTTAAGAAGAGGGAAGATCGACTCGGCGGCAATCATTCCACTTTTCATTCCAGTATGGGTTCCTTTCAGTTTTGCTACATTTAGCAGGCTAGCGGAACATCCAACAAGGCAACCACCTGGAACAAATCAAACATAGAGTTAAGTAATGTAAGGCAAAAGAAAGTACCAATAACACATTAGGAATGAAGTTTTCCCACTCATGTAAAGTGATAAGAATTACTTTTTCATCGACTTTTTCCCTTCCAATCACAAAACTATTTTGGGCTCTCAGTACTACAACTTTTGCTATTTTGCTTTACCGCT